TCGGGCAGCCGGCCTGGGGGGATGCGGTGTGTCCAGCCCCGGCCTGGCCGGACAGCCTAGCGGAGGGGCAGCCGGTGAGACGGGCATGCAGACTGCTGGCCCCTGACAGCTGCGGCACCCCCAGCCCTGCTGCAGCCAGCAAATCCGCTCCAAAACCTCTGTGCCGGCCTGGACAGGGGCAGGGAGGGCAGCAGGATTACTCACAGGGAGCAGGATCGTGCTCCTTCTCTGCCACAGCATCTGTTTGTTTATTCCCCTTCCAGACACTTCTCTTACTTTTTTTGTAGCATGAGCACTTTTCTCAGCACAGGAAACTTTGTGTCATCTATGGTGTTTCTGTGGTGCTACTCATTAGAGAGGGATCAGACAGAAAGCAGTCCTGTGAGGCTGCTCATCCACCTTCCTTCTCCAGCTCAGGGCAGCTTTGCCCAAGCAAGGGCTATTTTGTACCACCCAGACATACCTGTCAGAGCTGAGCCCCCGGCACAGGCAGCTTCATTGCCCCTCTCCCCCTGCAGTGCCCATCAAGGCAGCATCATCCACCCTGCTGCAGAGCAGAGCCCTGCGGGGCCACCTGCAGAGACCATCTGGCATCCTGCAGTGTCACTCATAAAATGGCATTGCAGAAGGAGCGAGGAGGGCTCACTATTTGACAGTGGGAATAAGTGTGCTGCAGCAGGAGGCACATGGGCATGCAGGATGAAAGCAGGGAGGAGGTGAGCAGCTGGCTGGAGCAAGAGAGCAGAGGGCCTTTCATCCCAATGCTCCTTTCCACTGCTCGCCCTTGGGCCCTCTCTGATCTCTTACCTCCTGCAAATTGCTTTTCAAAATTCTGATTTCTCGTGCTGGGAGAGGAGGGCGGTATGGAGGGAGAGAGCAGTGTAAGTTCCAAAGGCAAGAGAAGGACAAGCTGAAAAGGCTGCTGAGAGTGTTCTCTGCTTGAAAAGCTGCTTTGGCATCTCAGCTGTTTCAAAAGGGCTTCTTGTTCAGTTTATGGAAGATGCCAAGCAGGAGAGAGGTCAAACACTCCCGGCTTGGCTGCGGGGTAGAATTGGTACAGAGCTGGCTGGGGAGGCAGCTGACAGACAGGGTGTCAGGGAGGGAGGACTTCCAGCAGATCTGTGAGAACAGTCAGGTTCAGAGCATCCTGCCTGCAGAATTGCACCCTTGAGCAAATTCTGGGTGGTGGGAAGAGGAGTGGAAGATGGAAGGAGTGCTTTCTGGGGCACAGCCTAGCCCTGGAGCTAGCAAACCCCAGTCTGCCTGGCATCATCTGAAGTGTTGTGAAACTCGGGCTGGCCCAATGTTTAGGAGGCTATTGTGCTGACAGGTTTTCCAAGACAGGAAGCCAAGGAGGGGAGGCAACCCTGTGTCTCACTTCCAGGGTCAGGGCAGGAACAGTTTCAATAGGACTCAGAAGCAGCCCCAGGTACCCCCAACCAGGCTGTTCCCTCCCTTCCTTTGGAGAGTAAATCTACAACTCCCTTGGGAAGCATCCCCAGATGTCAGCAAGGGTGCTGCGTGTACCGCAGCCCATGACTGGGAGACGGCTGTGGGAATTTGCCAAGGGAAAAAAGCTTTTATCCAACCACCATGTCCAAGGGGCATGGAAACCAGACATGGTAACAGGAAGCCTCCATGGGATCTGCTATTCTTTAGGCATGAGTTAGCCTTTTGGATCTTCCTGAAACCAGCTGAAAGTTAGTGGGCAGCAGCACACGTGATAGGATGTGCTGGGCAGGGTGACCTGTACCCAAGGGTGCTGCTCTGTGTCACACACAGCTGGGGCTTGGTACCTGCTTTAAAGATGGCTGCTCTGGGCCAGGGCATGAGGGAGCCAAGCAGGACACCTGACCAAAAACCTGCCAGCCCTTCAGTGCCTGACAGTATAGCCCCAGTGTCCTTGCAGCCTTGCCAAAGAGCAGGTGGAGGTACCTGAGCAGCGAAGCATGGCTTGAGTAGGACTGGGCCCAGAGGCAGCGTGTCCAGCAAGCCCTGTGCCCAGGCTGGGGAATGCACTCACCTGGGCGTAGTTCTCAGCACGGGTGAGCAGGGGCAGCTCGTAGGCGGTGGAGAAGTGGGTCCGGACCTGCTGCATCTGACCGAACCGCTCCCGCTTGCGCCATTTTGCTCGCCGGTTCTGAAACCACACCTGGGGAGAGGCGACAGCAGGGCTGTGAACACGGGGAGCCCGGCAGCGGCTGGTAGCCCGGCAGCCCTGAAGAGCCCACCAGAGGGCAGGGCCTCACCAGACAGGTGCTTTTGTATGGCACAGATGGGCACTGCTCCACACACATGCTCTGCAGGGGAGAGACAGTCCTTCCCTGCTTCTCTTGAGGGTCTGGGGCCAGCTCCTAGGAAGGGAGCACTCCAAGCAAAAGGGGATGCCCATCTTGTGATGCACAGCCTTTCTGGGAACATTCCCAGCTCTAGCCTCCCACAGCCTGATTTTCACTGGGAAAGCCTGTCTTCCTCTCACCCCTAAATCTGTGTTACCCAGGCAGGCTCTGTCTGCAGCTCTCCTGCTGTCAGCCAGTCTCAGCCGAGAAGTGTGAATACATCCATGTGTGCTGCTGCCAGGCTGACAACAGCAGTGACGGGGCTTTCCCCAAGACTAAGCCTGGCTACGATGATGCCATTGACTGCAGCTTGCATTTCTCACCCAGTCTCTCGTTTTTCTTAACCGCAGCAAGAAATACAAAGCCGAACACCCCTTCCCTCCTTAGCTCCAGGAAAGGACAGGTGCCCTTCTATAGCATCCTTTGGTTTACACTGAGTTTTTTTTGCAGGGTTTGCTGCTCTTTGCTTCACAGTGCTGCTCAGATCCCTTCAAGGCAAAGACCAAAACTCTGTTTCTGCTCTTATTTTTACTGGCTTGACATCAGTGTGTATTATTGCACTGTTGTCAGCACCATTGCTCCTGATTTGCATCAGCCTAAGAGAGATCAGAGCCTGGCCCAGTGTCTTCAAAGCCTCTTGAAGCTCGTGAGTCAGGGAAACACATCAATCAAGAGGTGCTTTGAAGGCACTGAGAGATGAGGGCGATCACCAGGGGCTGGGTTGTGCAGGTCACGCCAGTGCATGAAAGGAGCACTCCTAGAGCCTCACAGCTCTGCTTCGAGTTTTACACGGTGACTCGCTGGGGAGGGCAGGGGGGGTATTGCTGACAAGCAGCTTGGCCCTTCCCACGCCTGGCCGTGGGGCAGCTTCGCTGCTTGCCAGGCACCTGGGGAAAGCAGACGCCAGGTAGGAAGCTCATGTCTTCAGAGGCTAGCAGGACAAGCCAGGTGCTTGGCACAGGGTGGGATGGCAGGACAATTTTTGCCGGGGCAGGAGAGTCGTGACACCTGCAGCCTGAATCAGTGCAGCCAGAAGCTGCTACGGGGAGCGATAAAGGCCTTGCTTTCTGGTCTGGGCTGACCATCCTGCTCGTGCTGGAAGAGTTGTTTCAGGCTCTCCTGCTTCAGTTTTTGCCTTCCACCACGTAGGCAGCCTTGTGCTGGTCTCTCCCAGGCAGGCCTGTGGTATGAGCTGAGGGGCTGGCCATGCACTGTGGTCTGCTTGGGCGGGGAGCCGATGGTGCAGCTGCCAGGCATGTGCTCCGCATGTGAGCTGTGGATAGCATAGGGTTTAATGCCCGGCCCCATGGCACCGGCAACGCCATCCACAAGCTGGCCAAAGCAGCAACCTGCAATCAACCCCCTTACCCCAAATCAAAAACCCTGCAAGTGTTTTCAGTAGGCGCAAAAAGCATCGGCAGAAACGTCCTAACGTTATCCCAGCTGAGCACACACTGCACATGCAGAGCGAACTACTGGAGCAGGTTTGATGCCTCAGGCATCTGTCTGTTTTTCTTCTACCTCTTCTTGGCACAGCCACTCCGGCCCAGCTGCAGGCCAGTCCCAGGGCTGGCCTGGATCACGCCGCTTTGATCTGCAGATTCAAAGTTAGCGGTGGTGACCTGGTTCCTCCTCAGGCGGAGGAGGCCCCGCTGTGCACAGAGGGGTGGAGAACAGGTAGGGAGCGGAGTGCTGGCTGTGCATGAGGCCAGGGTGAACATATGCCAGGCATACGCGGCCATTCCCCGTGTGGTGAAGGCACGGCTGCCTTGCCCGCCGGAGCTCCCACCTGGAGCAGGGCGGCCGTGCTCAGGCCCCGCAGCGGTGCGTGGCTCTGCAGTGTGACCTTCGAGGCTGTCAACGCAGGGTCTGCGCCCTCTTCCTCCTGGGACAGCGCGACAGCTGCCTTGACAGAGCAGAGGGAGGTCTGGGCCTCTACTCTGACACACTTATGCATTGGATTGAACAGAGCAAAGTGGTTTAAACTAGCAGTTCCCAAATTTCCCTGTGGCTGGTGGGCTGGGAGAATTTGGCAAGTCATTGCGTTAGGCTGAAGAAGAAGAGTATCTTCAGTCCAAGTGGTGTCACAGGCACCAGAGACACTCTGAGGGCTGACAGTGAGCTCTGAAGCACTTGTGGCAAGGTTTGGACCGCTTTTTAAAGTTCTCCTTTCTCCTCTGGGCCAAATCCATATTGGCTTCTTGTTATCTTGCAGCTGGGTTTCTCCAAGCCTCCACAGTGCCCAGGGGAAAATGAGACAGGCATGGCAATGTATAATGTGAAAATGTCAGCAAAAAAACCCAACTAATCCTCAGTATTTCCACAGTCTTAGAAGACACCTGCTTTTAAAAAGCAAATCTAAACCCAAACAGAAGTTCATTTTCCTTTCATTGCCTGTCACTCCTTGTCGAGAGTGGCTGTTGTGGGATGGGAATGTGACAGCGGAGGTTGCAGTGGCTGGTGCAGCGTGTCCTCTGGGGTCAGGATGGGCTACTTTGTGCAGGGCCCAGCAGTCACTGTGGGCTGAATCTCAGTGTTAGTAATTACAGTAGGAGTGTACAGTAATGTCATGTATCTGACTCCTGCAGACAATGCTTTGATAAGCCCTGATGTACCAAATCAGCCCTGTAAAAATCTACGGAACAGAGAATGTTTCATGTCTCCATAAACATTCAGCCATATGCTGGTACCTAAATCCATATGCATACACAGCTGATGTGCTGTTGGGGGTGGAGAGGCCAGAAGTGGCCTGAGACAAAGCAAGGAGGCTCCTGCTCACTCTCTTGCTGCCTCTCCCCACCCAGTGGGCACTGCCAGCCTGCCCCTGCCACCAAGCCCCATGGTGGCCGGTGGATGGGCTCAGCTGGGACTTAACCCAGGACTCTGACCATGCCTGGATAGTTGGGGGCTGCATCACTTATTTGTCCTTCCTCCAAGTTAAAGGCATTTTCCCCTCTCCCCTACCCCCACCAGGGCAGTGGTGGGTGAGGCTGACCTCTGCACATGTGGTGGTGGGCTGATAGCAGCTGTGGGGTTGTGCTCATGCCCTGTGCTCAGCACCCCTCATTGCATTACTGCTCTGACATTCAAGCATCTTGTGCTTTTTACTCTCTTCTGGCAGGCTCACAGCATCCATTCTCCCCAGTCCTGTCCTCTCACCCTGCGACCCTCCTCTCTCTGCTCAGCCTCCATCTGTCTGTGTGCAGGACCCCATCCCTCTGTGAAAGGTCAGGCTATCTCTCCTCTTGCCAGAGATGGCCACCAGCCCTTTGCTTTTCAGACTGCAAGAACAGAGCCAGAATTCATCCTTGAGTGCTGAAACTGGACACCATTTTATCAGTGGCCTGGAATGGGAAATTGGAGCCTGGGATGAGAGAATTGAATAACTCGAGCTTGTTTTCATTTCATGTTTAATTTCCTGCAGGCTTAGCTCAGTCTTTCCGCTCCTTCCACCAGCCTCCCAGGGTTTTATGGGGGAAAAGGGATCAAGATATATTACTTCTTGCTTTGCTTTGCTTCTTTTCTTTTCTTTTTTTTTTTCCAAAGCAGTGATTTTGCTACAGCAGAGTTTGACATTTCCCTCTCACTTTCAAGCCCCCGCCGCATCACAGGGTCACTGCCAAAAACATTTCATTAATGGTCCCAGCAATGATAAAGCTGGCTCTGAGGGGGGCTGGCTGATGGGTTGTATTCCCTGGCTGCGAAGCCTCCTTCCAGTCCCATCCCTTTCTCCTCTCCCAGAGAGCAGTCCAGGAGGCAGATAGTTGATAATCCAAGAGAGGTAAGCAGCCAGGACCAGGCTGGCATGGGCTTGGGATGTTCCTGTGTGTGTTTCTATGCAAGGGGAAGGCATAATGTGTGAATACACGTGTCTACCTTTTTTTTTTAGTGCCACTGCCTCAGACATCTGCTGCAGACCTGGATGAGCTGGAAGAGGCTCAGCAGTTGCTGATACCAAGCAGAAGCTCTTTCTGGGGCTCTGCAGCCCCAGACATGGAAGATGAGAACAAAGGAATGGGACATACATGTTGTGTAGGACCTACATGAACTCAGAACCCCCTGTGCATCTTTGCAGGTTTGTGGCTGAGGTGTAGCAACCTCTTCCTGGCTGTGCCTCTGCCTAGGCTTGTGCATGGCTCCTGCTTTGCAAATCAGGGATATGCAGTATCTTAACAGTACGTGGAAACAAGGGACAAGATTGTGGGGAGTAGACATGAAAATGTTGCATTGCATCACGGGGGAAATTAGCTTTGACATTGACAGACATCAGTACAGATGGCTGGAAACTGAGGCAGGCAGGGAAATGGAGCAGGAGAGGGTCTAGGCCATGGAATGTCACTGCTTCACAGACAGTGTGGTCCACCTCATGTGCGCTGCTGGCACGGGTTCTTCTCCAGGCACCACAAACTCCGGCAGCTACTTCACTAAAGAAGAGTGAAACTTGGGGAAGGGATGGAAAAATCAGAGCTGCAGAGCCTGTCTGGGCTCTGCATCTGCTCCTGCCTGCAGTGCAGCTGGTCATGCTCCCCAGGAAGCCAAGCCTGGCCAGAGGGGATGACCTCCAGCCAAAAGCTGTGAGAGGGAGCATCACACCTTAAACCAGTGCCTTACCTTTCTGAAGATGACCTCCAAAAAATCATTCCAGGGCAGGATTATCCCTTAGATGACCATACCTTCCTTGTGAGAGGGACTACTGTGCTACCCTCAAAGCCCATGGGGCTGCAGTAGGTGTGTGCCCAAACACCCCACAGCAGCCAGAGCCTTTCCCAGCACAATGGATGGTGTCTGAGTACTTCACAGCTCTTTGGCTTGCAAGGGAAAGGTAGTGAGGGGCTCTCGTCCAATTTGTGATTTCTGCCCTCTAGCCCTTGGTTTTTGGTCCTTGCAGTGGGCATTTGCTTCGCTATCAGCCTCCTGAGCTGCAGCCAGTACCCACCCTTGGGCTGTGAGCCAATGGCCCTTGAGGCCACACTGCTGGTGTTGGAAGACCCCAAGGAACAGAACTGCCAAGGGGGTAAAGGCTAAACAAGCTGTAGCACAACCCAAAGGTGGAGACAGGCACTAGGGTGATTCACTAAGGCTTTGTCTCTGAAAGCCTCCCTCATGGGAAGAGCAGCCCCATTCCATCAGCAGAAAAACCCTGTGCCACCTCAGACTGCACGTCCCAGGGGCTGCCAGTGCCATGCAGGGCCAAGCAGCTCACTAGCCAGCAGCTTCAGCCCTGGGAACACATTTGAGATACCCAGCCCCTGGGCTGCCCCTGAGCCTGCCCAGCCAGCACCTGCTGCTCTGGGCACAAGCCTGCTGGTTCTTCCTATGCAGTGATGGGAGCCTGCACTGCTGCTGACAGCACGGCAGTCCTGCAGCACGAGGTGGTGGCCTGGTGCCAGCCCACGGCCCAAGTCACCGGCTCCTTCCTGGCAGAGCTGGGGAATGACTGAAATGCAAGTGCTTACCCCTTTCACCATGGGGCAAGTGCTCGAGCGGCCAGGCCACTTAGACAAGTCCTTCAGCAGCTCTGTCACACGAGCCCTGTCATCGCTGTCCCAAGTGAGAGGTGTGCACTGGCAGCTGCAAGAGCAGGGAGGCTCTTCTTGGCTGCCTGTGCAACAGGCTACTGGCACGCTTATCTCAGAGCAAGCCGAAACCCCTCTTTGCCAAATATACTCCTGGCTACCCAGGGAGTTGCTTCTACCCTCAGCTGAGGTGTTATCCTGTGGTAAAAGTGGATAAGAGGGGGAAAACTCTAGAATGAAGGATCATATAGTAAATTGCATCTGTCTCACCTGCCCTGGCTCTGATGGCCACCCTTCATGCTGCTGGGATGACACAGTAGCTGCAAACCCTGGCTCAGAAGAGAGCAGGAGGAGCTCACCACCCTCCAGCACCTCATTCTCATTCCTGAGCTAGAGGAATTTCATGCACTGTGCAGCCAGTAACCCGATGCTATGTCTGGCCTCCCAGGAGACCCCATTAGCACTTGTGGTGTGTTCTTGGGAAATCAAGAGCTGCATCCAGTGTCACAAGTAAAGAGCTGATGTTTGTAGCACTGCCTTGCTCTGCCCATGCTGCAGTGCCCAAGATACTGCACTCGGGAGCAGTGGGAATCACACTGCTGGCTACTGAAACGCAGCCATGTCCAGCCTGAAGAGAAACAGCTGTGGGGAAGAAGAGCACACCAGCCCTGCCAACCAATTTACCAAGCAGACAAGAAAAATCCTGCTTCTGGTGAATTGAGAAGCAAACGTACAAGCTAAAATGGACTTAAGCATGGATGTGGGCCTTATTTGCAACAACTACTTGTAAAGGTTAAAGCAGAGGCTGCCTGGGAGCTGGGAATATTCCTGGTATAAAAGATAGAATCAGGTGTCTCCATGGGCCAATTATTCTTGATGCTAATGCAGGTTCTGGGGGTGGTGAGCTGACAAATGCCTGCAGACGGAAGTTACAGGATTAGCTGTGCTGGAGAAGGAGCTGGCCACCGAGGCGTGAGCTGCGGATGTCCCCCCCCATGCAGTGGTGCTTCCTTTTGCACATGCTTCTGAGCCCTGACAGGCCTCCTGTTTAACCTTGTCTCAGAGGAAAGAGCAGTAGTCAGAGAACCATTCCCTCCTCTGATGTGGATTTCGGGTCTGCTGGCCCCCAGGCTAGTTCAAGGGAGCTAGTTCATGAGAGCTGGCACCTGTGTGGGTAGAGATGATTGAGACTGTCAACAGAGCATGGCTGTTTGACTTTCCTGCTCCTCCTAATGTTGTGGGTGCACCTTTTGCCTCCAGATCTCCAGCTCTCATGCAGTCTCCGTGCTTGCCAAGCAGGCAACAAGAGCGGCCTCTCCTGTATCTCCTCATGTACTGAATTCCCAGTCACCTCTGCAGCCCCATCTGCCAGAAGGAGCCCATCCTGCCCATCCTGCTCCCACTCAGACTGATGAACCTCTGTCCCCTGGAAGCCTCCTGAAGAGAGCAGGTTTTGTGCAAGCTTTTTTCAGGGTGGCGGTGAGGCTTACCCACCTGCTGTCCCATTAGCTCAAGGGCAAGAGGTGTTTCTGTGAACTCTGGATTGCAGGACACCAGACCAAGTAAAGGAGCTGACACCAGCGTCAGACATGGAGGTACCTCCTCGTGCTTTCTCTGTGCCATGGGCTCTGATTAGGGCTTGGCTGCCTGCAGCTTATGGTGGGGCTGCAAGGGAACCTCAGGGGTTTTTTGCAGCTCATCCACCTCTCACCCAGCCCCAGGATTTCCCCCCATACCTGTACACGAGCCTCGGTGAGGTCTGTCCTCATGGCTAGCTGCTCCCTGGCATAGACATCGGGATAGTGGGTCTTCTGGAAGACCTTCTCCAGCTCCTCCAGCTGGTAACTTGTGAAGGTGGTGCGGTTCCTCCGCTTTTTGCCCTTGTTGCTCTCCGAGTCGGCCTTGTCCATGGGGCTGGGGAGGTCCGTGCTGGCCCTGTCCTGGGGCACTTTCACCCCGGCCTCCTTCACGCTGAGGTAGCTGCTGTCCATTGCTGAAGGGTCAGAGCTTGGCTGCAAGTCAGGCTCTCCCAAACCGCCTTCCTTACCTATTTCGGTGGGAGGTGGGGCAGGGAAGAGGGGGCAGGTTTGACCAGGGGTAGGGGGCAGGGAGAGAGAGAAAGGGAAACAGATGTAAATCTTTTGACCAATTTTACCCAGCACAGATGGGCAAGAGGAGGTTGGGGCAAGCTCTCTCAGCTTCTGTTCCCTCTCAGAGATCCAGGTGGGAGGATGAGCCCTGAACACTCGGGCGCACACACCCCAGCAAGACCCTCCTTCAACCTCTCAACACCCACATCAGGGTTGAACATCATGGAACACTACATTCCCTGGTCCTAGCCACAGGAAAGGTCTCTGAGAGGTCCCATCTGCTGCTTGCACCATACAGGTCCCCTGTCAGCAGTCCATCTGTGCTCCCCTGCTGAATAACACAGAGTAGGAAACCAGCAGCACACAGCAGCCACACGTGGTGCTCGGTGGGGTCTGTCTCCTGCTCCTGCATGCTCAGGCAGTGGTGGTGTGTCAGCAGAGCTGCTCCTCACGGGCACCCCCAGTCACCCCCACAGCCTGCTGCCAGGACTTGCACTGCTTTGGGCAAGGAGCCCGTGAACAGGGCTCAGTGCCGTGGACAAGGACAGTATGAGACACCTGTGGAAACAGCACCCCCTGTGTGCAGGGCAGGGGGAAATGAGAGGAGTGTGACAACAGTCTGGGGAGCTGTTCCCACCTGGCTGCCCTCGATTAATAATTAATGAGACATGACATATGAGAGCAGTATGGCAGAGCAGGAGGAAGGGGTTTAAACCACGGAACCAGTGAACTGGTTCATTTCTAAGGCTTAGCAGCTACAGTAAAACCACCTTTGAGCTTTGTAACGGGGTATATGCATTCTCAGGTGCAGGCACTACGCGTGTCCTGTCCTGCACACCTCCTGCCTCCTATGACAGTGGTGTCCCCTTTCATTTGCAAGAGTGATGCTACGCCAGCAGGACCCTGCTGGGGACCCATTCTTCTCCCTTATCTGATGCCACTGCTCTGCATGGTGGGCTGAGCCCAGGACAGAAAAAGAGGGATCTGTGTGAGTGACTGGCCACCTGGCATATAGTGCACAGCCAAATGTCACACCTGGCCACATTTCTGGCTGGGATCTTTGGGCAAAAAACAAGGTACCCCTACTGCAGGTTTTAACCTTGAGCCACTACATTCAGTTCCTAAGTGTATGAGAAGTGATACTGCGGTATTCTCTATCCATTCTCTCCTTACCAAGCCAAGAGCACACCAAGTGTCTCATCTTTTTTTGAAATTTCACTTTAGTCTATTTTTAAAAATTACCAGGCCAGGATCAGTCTTTCTGGGAAACAGCTCCACTATTTAGTGATGTCCCCACTGGGAGCTCTTCCCAGGCAATGTGATAGCCAGGGTCATTAATGCCTGCTTAGGCATCTTAGCCTGTGTCTTTGGCAATTCTCATCTCTGGTTGCAAAATCCTTTTGCTAATTCACTGTATGTTTACAGTTTAGCCCTTCTGTGAACAGCTCTGTCACATCTTCAGAGCCAAAATCCCATGAAATTGTGAGAAGGTGTCCCGTGCACAAGTCCTTGCCCATCTCTCACTGTCACAGCTGAAGGGCTGCACTGAGATGATGGGGATGAAACCAGGAGGATGAAATGTAGTTGTTGCCCTCAGGCATGAGAGCAAGGGTGGCCCAGGTTTAAGCCTGGGGAAGATGAGCTATGAGAGGTATTTGAGAAGAAAATTGCTCAGGTGATACACAGGGCTTGTAGGCAGACCTTGGATGAAGGCAATGGTGTTACCTGCCACTTTCACCCTACTGTGATTTCAGATTTATTGCTTTCTCCAATATTGTTCCTTCAGACTTTTGAGGAGCTCCCTACAAAACTTACCAAAGCTTAATGTCTATCTCAGCTCTCTTTGCTTTGATCCTTGGGAACATTTTGCCAAAATTTATGCTCCCTGGGTTCCAGGACCAGTGTCTAGGGCAGTGGCTGACACACTGCCTCCTCTTTGAACCTGCTTTCTCCAACTGGCTGACTGCTCCCACTGCTCCTGGGGAATGCAGGTGGACAGACCCATCCAAAATGAGCTGGGACAGTGCCCTGCCCCACAGCCTTGGTAAATCATATGCTACAGACATGGTATTTATAATTTTTACAACTGAAAATGAAACAGTTCCAGAAAGTCTGCAGCGATGGACTACCGCCTATGAGACTCAGTAGAGACAGAGTAATAAATAAAGTATTCCAAGAGGTTGGGGTGTTTTTTCCCTTTCTCTCTTTCTTTTATTACTGATGATGTCAGGAAGCTCAGTACATTCTCTCCCATGGCTTTGTGCCACCTGCCTCCCTGACTCCTAAGCCCCCTTTTGCCTCCTAAGCCCCTGTTTGCAGCAGCAAACACAAGACCTGAAGCCTTTCCTTGGGAACTCCTCTGCTGGTTTTTATCTGTTTCAGGAGCTCAGGAAGGTTCTGCACAAACACACACACACACACACATGCAGAGAAAAGCTCTGTGTCAGTTCTAATTTCGTTGACAGCATAGCTCAAACTGCAGACTTTCAGCAGTGGTAAGTTATCTCCATCACAAGCCATCAGCCTCAGGGAGCAAGGACTGTCCCTGCTGCACACAGAGTGGGTGTTCCCATGCCTGCTCTGCCAGCCCAGAGCCCTCCTTCATAGCTCAGCCACGCTGCCCTCGTGCTCCTGCACTGCAGCAGACATGGGCTTCTCCACCTCTAGTCCCTGGGAGCCCTGGCAGGGATGAACTCTTTCCACGGGAGGGGCAGAACCTCTGGGATGGAGGGCAGGATGGCAGCATAGGGAGGACATGGTGTGCATCCACCCTCAGCTGAGCATCCCAAGTAGTAACTCTCATTCCCTAGAAACAGGCTCCCTGACCTCAAAACAGTCACGCTAACTGCTGAAGTGAAACAAATTGCATACATCTGCATATGGATATGCCCAGACTTCCTGTAACTGGAGATGGCCTCAAAGTTTCAGTGCAAAGTTTGGGGTGTCTGTTTCTAATCAAACCTAGAGAGACCTTGAGTTACATATTGTGAAGGTCTCTGTGACAAGGAGTTAATGTGAGCACCACTGTACCCTTACAAGTCCGACAGGATCACTTGGTGCCTCCTTCACTGCTTGCCAATCCATCCTTGCTCTCCTGGCAATAGAAGGAGGATATTTTCTGACTTCCCACAATTATACCCTGCTCTCCCAGTGCCTTGGCTAGACCATCAGCACTCCCAAGACCGTCCCTGAGTCACCCTGTGTCTGCTGCCAAGGGGCAGGGATAGTCTGGGGTAACTGGGCATGTGGGCTCCAAGCATCTGGCAGCTCCTTTTGGGCAGGAGGGATGCCTGCATTCCCACTTCTTCTGCAGGGATATGCCTATCAAATCTCACCACATCTGTCCTGGGAACCCTACAGAGGAGAAAGGGGTTGCAGGAGACACAAGACCTGTTCTGTTCACATGTTCACCTGTGACTATGAGGTAAGGCCCTGAGACAGCCAGGGGTTGCACTGCTTTGCTGACACAGTCCTGGAGGGAACAGTCATCTTTTTCATGCTGTCAGAATGTTTGGATTCACAACTTGTATCTCTTTTGTTCCTCAGGTGTGCTATTTTGAGAGGGTGACTAAGTAAAACCTTCACCATGTACAATCTTATCCGTGGAATTTAATTTAGAGCAAAGTCAGCTTGGTGCATCCACAGGGATGGAGACTGGGACATTTCCAACACACAGCTTTGGACCCAACTTGACATGGCTTTGCACAGCACATGCATGACAAGCCACAGCTCCTGCACCATAGGCTCCTTCACACAGATCCTGTGACAGCAGCCCTGCAGTCTATAAGACTGCAAGAGAGCTACATGGCCAGCTCAGCCCAGGCACACAGCCAGCACAGGGCAGTTCCCCTGGGCTCCAGGCTAAAAAGCCTGCTGGGTCTTGGCACTGCTAATGTCCTGCTCTGGCAACATCTTGTCCAAGCTATTACAGTCTCAGTGAAGAGCTGATGCTGTCCCAGTCCTGGGAGGCATCAAGAATAGCCTGGAACACCTACTGGCATGTGGCAGCTCACGGGCATTGTCTGCCTGTGGACAACCCATGTCCAAAGAGTGTGGCACAGGTGGCATGGGGCTGCACCAGCCTGGCCCCCTGCTCCCACACTAAATGACACTGGGTCCTTCTACCCTCCTGTCCAAGTGTGGGCACAGCAGTGTTCCTCTCCACCCACCCCCAAATTCTATGGCCTCCAGTGCTGGCCACTTCAGGGCGCCTCTCTTTGCCTGCACAGGCATGGTCTGACTCTTCATAGCAATGGTGCCTTAAAAAAAAAGAATTTTAATGTCATTCTCTTAATGTCATTCTCTCAACTCTTGCTTAAATACCAGTGCTAGCATTTTGCCTAGAGAGGGTTCAAGCAGTGTATTTTACACTTCTTACCAAGACAGATTTGCACTACAGCACAGCCAGCACACTCAAGGACTTGGCCAACCATAGGAACCTTATCCAACTCCTGTGACCTTGCCTTAACACATGTTGAAACCATTATACTTGTTTCTAAGCTGTCTGTTGCAGTCTTCTGCCTCCTATCTGTCATCGAAGTCTAGAAGTCAGCACAAAACTATTATTTAAAAGACATCCACAATTTGGGTTATATAGGAAAAAAGTGACTGAATTTTAGACATATAAAGACCTGAATATTTAGGTTTATTTCTGTTCAGGGAGTCAGTGCTCTTGCATGACTCTACACGTGACATTCTGCACATGTAGGAAAGATTTTAACACTTTTTCAGCTGTATATGGCATCACTGATTTTATTAGCAATGATCAGGTGCTTAATCATACTTTCACTCTCGTGCCCAACTGAAGTGTAAAACTGGGCAACATTCATCTCTTAAATACAGGTGGTATAGTTCTACATAAGACACAAAGCATTGGCTGCATTCTGGAAGCTGCGGTTACCATCTGCTGCTGAGCAGAAACTGGTTGGAGCATCTCCATTTCAGCTCTGGATAAGGA